AAAAAAAAAAAAAAAAAAAAAAAAAAAAAAAAAAAAAAAAAAAAAAAAAAAAAACCTGATACGTAGGGTATTTGAAAGGCATACTTGATTTATACAGGGACAATTGGAAATTCTCAACATAAGGTGCCTCTTAAAATTGGACTGATTTAATTTGAGTTAGCCTGTTTTTTTTTTTTTCTCTCACTTGTTGAATCTTTTTAACAGGAAATCGGGCAACTTCCTGAAACTGACTAGAAAGGACCTTACCAAAAATCTTAAAATATTTTTGGAGTTTATAAATAATCATCTCTATAGTCTGAAATACTTTTGATTTTTGAAATTCGATAATTAGGCGGGAGGGGGTCCATAGTAAAGTTACAAAACTGCATATTTTGTGAACGGTTTGTTGTAGAGATATGTCTTGGATCTTAAAACATATAGGACCATCAGATTTCAGCTGACATTAACAAAATCGGTCAATTTTAATTAATTGTTATCATGTTTCTGCAACTTAAATTTTCAACTTGTCGCATTTACAATTTCTCCCATTTTACATTACATTTCAATGTATTTTTGAACATCACTTACATGTGTGATGCTGAAAAAGAGGCTAAAGAAACACTAACTTATTACATCTAATAATCACAGAGACTTATTCATTTGAACGACCCAATGAAACTGTTAAAATCGATGGTTGAACCCTGTAGATTAGTTAGATTTATGGGACATGTGCAAACGCTAAGAATGTTGCTCAATATTAACAACGATACGGCTCTTTGAAGAAGATGGGTGAGAGACCTTATCCATGTTAAGCGCCACAAATTCTAGGACAGAATTCGCACCAATTGCTACTGATGAGATCATGTGAGACATTGGTATGCCTTGATGTGACGCAGTTAGACAGCCATGGTCAAAATTGCTCGACAAAGAGGTATTTCGCAGATTCTGCTGCACCCATTGGTCAACAAAAACTGAATGGGTGAAAGTAATTAAATCCAGAAATAATGAAATGGTAAATCAAACTGCAGATTGCTTGTAGTTCTTTGTGTCCAAAATTTTCTTTCCACACATGGCACAGATACCCTTTTTATAGGCACATGCTTGACAGTAGTGGGAACCAACTTGATGAACTTTTTGCCTACAAATTCGACATGTTTCAAACCTTGTTGTGTATGGATTAAATCTTGCTTTGCTGGCTGTAATTGCTTTGTTTTCTCCGATTTTTCTGCCACCGCTTTCATTGGTATTTCTCGCTCCACTTTTCCATGGATCTGGAGTGATAACTTTGCCCAGTTTCTTTTCACACTTCTCGCAGACCATCCTGAAAGGTAAACATACATATTTGTACATTAATAACTTAGTAGACACATACTGATAGAACATACAGGCAGTGCAATTGATGATGCAAATTTTGACTGACCCCTGGGAAATATTTTCATTACTAGTTTTAATGTAATTTTCATCAATACTGCACTTAAATCCTGTAGGGTACGCAAACTTTGACCACTAAGACATAAGGTTTGCATTTAATTGTTTGACCGTTGACACCCTCGATGTATAAAAAAACAGAAGCTGGATAAGTACTGATCCGTGGGTAGCTGCAGAAAAAATACCTCTTTATCTCCATGGATATTACCGAAGGCTGAGTAAAATCATAGCTATTTATTTATTTTTCGTTTGATTAGAGGGAATTAGCCTACAGCTATCACAGACTACAATGAAAATAAACTATTAGTGCAGGATGCAAAGTTGCTAAAAGGTTCAGAAAGTGCCTGCGAGGATTGCTAAATTTTAATAAGAGACACAAGATAAAGATTTTAGCAATTCACTCTGGTAATGAAGTTTCCTATTTGGAGTTGACTTTCAGATTTGTTCGACTGATTTATTTTGACAACAAGATAAAAGCCATGTCTTGCATCTCACTTAAGAGGATTCGACCGTTGCCATTTTTTGTGTCAGAGCGACGTGCAATATATCACATCAATTCATTCCATAATTTCAGCTACTTGTCACTTTTTTCTAATTTTGAGATCGCACCTCCGTTGTCATTAGACTAAGGAAGTCATGTAACAAATTTGACAAAGAAATTCAACAAAGCAAAGACAGGGTTTTTTCAGGGGAAATATGTAGCATTCGAGTGCAGTTTCGATATCAGTACCAAATGCGATATTTCGCCTCTAAAAAGACTCTGCCTTTCTAACGTTGAATTTCTTTGTCAAATTTGGTACATGAATTCTTCAGTCTCGTGACAACAGAAGTGCGATCTCAAAATTCGAAAAAAATGACAAGTAGCTGAAATTATGGTACGAATTAATACGATATACTGCACGTCACTCTGACACAAAAAATGGCAACCATCGAATCACCTAACTTAAACGGTTAACTCAAAATCAACAAAACACAGGTTTGTATTTTGAGAGTTTCACCGTCCATTAGAGACAGGTTGCTTTTTGCTGCATGAAAAGACACATAACCAGTATCTTGGATTCCATGTTGATTTCATGACAGAAGCTGATTGGACCATTGCGCAGACGGAGAAAACTTGAAGTTCTCATCAAAGAGAAATATCTGGGGTCCTTTGAGAATTCTTCACAAACAATTAATTGAATGTAATATGCTTACCTTCTATTTAATTCAGATTACTTAAAACAAACTCGGAAAATAAACTTATCAGGGAGTAGGGACGGAAAAAGAGTTATGAATGAACAAAACTTAAGAAACAGACAACAAAAGCTGAAAGCTCATTCAACTAACGACTAACCTAAAAATACAAATGTAAACAAAAGCAGTATGTACCAAATCGACGTAAGAGAGAGACTATGCTACGTCATAGAGCTTCCATTGTAATTTTTGTAACTTTGTGGCATGTACTCTTCTTCGCCGTCGCTCTTATCTAATTTTTTGGCAAGTCGCGGCGCATGCGTGTCTTGAGGTTTGCCGGCTCTGTCACAAATCGGGCGCTGTAAGCTCATGGAATTCAGCAAAATCTATCGAATTCAGAATGAAAGTTTCAGTGATGAAAGGATATTAAATGAAAGTCATAAGGAATGCAGGGGCGGGGATCATCTCCTCACTTACGGGCGATGGGTGATATGATACTCCGTTTTACTTTTACTGGTCTCGAATATATCTTGGCGAGTTTTATTTATCGAGCGACAAGTAGAAAAAATTTAAAAAAGCTTCCAAGCTGAGCAGAAGTAGTAAAATTTTTCCCTCCACCTGAGAATAATTTTATAATAATCTAGCTATATTGCGAAATTACCAAAAATTGCTGTAATTGAAAACCCCTCCCCTCTCCTGTCAGCAGACAGGTGATGCCGTGTGATATGACTGATAACCCGTAGATAAAGAAAAATCCCGCGCTCTCTTATCATCAATTTCGCACGTCAACTTTTGTTTTCCTCTCATACTCAATGAACCTAACGGTCAGTTCAACAAGTTTTAATCCAAGGAGAGAAATTCGGTCATTAAATAAATCGACCTTTTGATTCCATTTTGTTTAAATTTTGTTCCATCCAGGCAGTTCTGGCGCTCGGGCGCTCGCGAACGTGTAATCGAATCGTTGTGTCTTGTGTCTGTGTGAGAGTGTGCGTGCATCAGTCGAGGCATAGAATAATAAGGCTACGCCTATAGAAAGGACACTCTCGCAGATTTCATGACGAAGAAGAAGAACAGGGACCTGGAGCTCTTGAGCTGGAGCTGGCGGGTATTGTTTACATTCAGAATGAAAATGGTGGCAATAGCCAACTGTAACACTCTAACTGTAGCTGATCACATGTGATTTTATCAGTCATCTGGCCAGCATGAGCACGACGAGGCTGTGGAAATCGTTTCCGTTACATTAATTTTGATACTCAAACTCTTTTACTCTGTGACGATGACTTTTACACTTACAAAACATTAGACTCTTCGTTGGCACCACTGACTACATTTCGCAACCCTGCAATTTGCTGGGCCCTACTATTACATTTGACAACCTTGCAAAGAGCTGGCGGGTTCAGAAAAGTATAGGGCAACGGGACCTAACCAAACCTGGACACAGCAGGCGAGAGTCACAACGGCCACTTACGCGAGCGGTGCCGGACACGGGAGCTGTCAGCATTAGATTTCGGGTGCAGATTGCAAAACGACGGTGGTGGCGCGCGACTGCGGATTGCACGGGAGTTAGAGCGCTCCGCGGGAATTTGTCGCTGGCGGGAATATATGAACAATACCTATATGAAGCGTGTGGCTCATTTTAGAACTTCGACTTTTAGAAGTTTTCTTGTCTGGACTGCGGGCCGAACGCTGCCTTTTTTAAAAGGTATATTAAAAAAAAATCAGATAAAGGGGACTTGTGTCGATATAAAGGAAGGGGCAGTGGATTGATTAATCGGAATAACTGGTCAAACAGTGGTTGCACATTTTTGAGAGTGATTCTTTTCGCTCTTGATGTTTTTATTTTTTTCTTTACCTTTCTCCTCTCGTATTTTAATCCCCCTAAGTTGAGAAAATGACAATTCTATTTCTACCAACAACCTCCCCCCCCCCCCGATGACGTCATCGGGACACCCATCAAGGACGCCATAGACTCATCCTTTAATGACGTCTTGATAATGGCATTTTGTATGGGCATTTTGAGGTCACATTCAGGGTACCAGTTGATGGCGACGTTATAACACAGACCATATTTCATGTATATACATTTATTTCTAATTAGTTTTTGATGGGTCAATATTTTCTAAGTTTCTAATTTTTAATAAATTTTCCACTTATTATATAATACCTACTTTAGCATGTACAGCATCAACTTGTTTTGAATACCCCGCAACCTCTTTTTAAAAGTCAGAGAGTTTTTAGAATCTTGTCCATCTGTATTACAGGTCGTCAATTTTTACAGCCCACAAGCTGTTCGTTAATTCCTTAGATATCCTGCTCAATGTCACATCAGGATATGTTCCAGGGGGACACTCGACCCTCCTCCCCCACTTCCCAACACAAACACAGAAAAATTATAAAAGTTATCACCTCATATTTTTATTCATTGTCAGTTTACTACTACTCTTGCAAAGAGTCCTTTTCCCAACCCCAGCTGATTAATACATAAAAGTTTTCAAAGTCTGTCATGGCATTTGATTCTTTTTAATGTCGATTCCATACGTCATTTGCCCCTCATCTTATAATCAGTTAAATATTTTAAGTTTGGGAGGATAGATTTTAAAAATAGTATTGTCGAGACTACAATGCTGGAAGTCAAATCATCTATTAACTTCCTTCTTTTATTGCAGAGAGAGGATTTCATTTTATCCTTTTTTTCTCTCCTTTAAAACCATTTTCAAAAGCAGGTAATCATGTAATTAATTCACACACTGTTTTCTGAATAAGGGCGGTTGGAAGTACTTGTGACTGAGACCAAAAGTTCTTGAATCGTATGTTCTTTTGAATGAGGGATGACTAAAATGCGAATTGCATTTAGGTTCATATAGTGATTTGTTGCTTAAATTTGGCTTCAGCACTTTCCTTGATTTTTCAGTGAAACATGCTTGGTTGTTTGAACCATGACTTACGAATAATAACACAGATTTTTTTTTTCTTTTCTTTCTTTTTCTATGGTTTAGTAATTTTTTTTCTCTATTTCTTGGTTCAATAATTTGAAAGATTTTCATCAACTCAGAAGCTTTCAAATTGATCTTTAAGTTTGTTACTTTTTAAAAATATTGAAAAGTCCCAAAGATGAATGCAGCAAAAAAAAAAAAACATTTCTTTCCTTACAGAACTTGTAGAAAAAAATTGCAGCCGTCTTCTGTGGCAGTCTTTAATGTATTGCTTATTTATTCAACTACTCACTGGAGATTAGTTAACCACAAATTAAAATAGAAAAAAAGATCTCCCTGCATTCATTTTCTATTGATTGCGATTTGAAGACAAAGATCTTACAAAGAATTCAATTTGAACATAATATACACCCATTAAAAGATGTTATTATTCTATGGGGAGAAAAAGAAGTGGATTGCAAACCATACAAGATTGATTTTACACATTTAATAATCAAAAAAACAAACACGAAGAGGAACAATAGAGAGAGAAAAGAAATTTGGTTAGTGTAGCAAAAATAGGTATTGAATAACTAAAACGAATATAAAAAGAAAACACGAATAATTTTTCTTCTTTCACAAAAAAAAACTGAAGGCATCTTAAAGCAAATACATACACAATTCCAATTTCCAAATGTTGGCTTGGGTACGTGTATAATTTTGTTAATTTACTAATATCCCCGCATGGATGGGAATCATCGCCAGTTCCATTTGAAGTATCCACAGTGAGTGAAGTGACTATAGAACAGGAAGAACGTAGATAGAGGAAAATGACTTTTACATGGCAAAGCATGCACGCATAATTGACTGGAAAAGACAAAAATAAACAAATGAAGTGACAAAAAAGTAAGAAATATAATTACAAAAGTAGATTAACAACAAAACAAAACAAAAATTGAATGTATTAACTTTTAAATGAATGATTTTGGCAAGCTAATAGCACCTTTTTGAAGAAAATAGGAATGAGTGTACAAATTCTCCTCTTGAGGTAGAAATTTTTGTTTTTTTGCATTTACTCACTTTGCACGAAACTAAAGTTGATGCACCTAGTGAAAGTACTTGAGTCAGCTGACCTGAACTGACTTTCAAATGAATTTGTGCAGAACTTTCGTTACTAATATTAAAGGACTTTCTTTAACAATAAAACTTTGACGGAAATTTAGCTTAATTTTAAAACATTTGAGTGCAAAACATCAAAGCTTTAAACAACTTATTAGACTTCTTTTTTCTTAATATGTACATGTATTATTCTATAGATTATTTCTCAATATTATAAAAAAATCCAAGAAACAGAGAACATCCTGGAACAACAGAATTTTCTCTTAAGTCAAAAAAGCAAACCTAGTCAAAATGATAATTATGTACATCTTATGATGAGCATTACTTTTGGTTAGGGAAGAACAAATTCTACCTAATAATTTAGGTGTGTCATTAAAAAAAAGGGCAAAGATTTGGTAATCATCTTGGCAGTAACCAAGAGGTCTAAGAGAGGAAATAAAGGCTTGAGAAAATGTGCAGGTTATCTTACAGCACTATCAAAAGTAGAGAAAATAAAAAATGTTTCTTCATCTCTTTTTATCATTACTCATCCTAAAAACTGAGATACCTATGGGTGAGTATGAAATACAAAATTTTGACTTGCACATTTTTGACACCGACTATTACTTTAAAATCTACAAGGCAAGTTCAGCACATTTTCAAAGCAATTAGGGAGAGTACTAAAGGCTTTAAAATTTCATATTCTTTTTCTTGGTAGGAACTGAGAAAACCTAGAAATACAGACTAGTCGACATAGAAGGTGGGCAAACATTACGACTTATTCTAAATTACAAAAAGCACCTGTGGCTAGAGTATTACATCTCATGGTGAACAAAAAATTCATGTGGTGAAAGTTTCTTTCAAAACCACATTTTGGTAATTACCCACATACAGTTGAAACGAACAACACTTAATCCTACACTTACAGTTACGTCAAACCGTAAGAAACTAAGCGCAGTTATGCACAAGTAAGGCACATTTTACAGACCGCAAGACCAAATGAAATAAAAGAAAAGAAAAGCAACGAGAAACATTTCCAATAGACTTTGGCGAAGTGCAATTTGAGGTGAAAAAAACATGAAAAAAATGTGATAACTATGCTGCAGCTCAAACATGTAAATTCTGCACTTTAAGCTCAAGGAGCACTCAAAAATATGTACAAGTGGCTTTTACAGCTTTTAGAGCATTGCAAAGTTAGTGATTGATAAATAGTGAATTTCTGAAAAAACAGATACAATTTGGCAGCACTGTTGTTGATTTTAGAAATGGATTATTTCAAACATAAGTAGCATTACTTTTAGTACAAATTACATAGGGTGTTCAAAAATTAATGCACGTTTCCGTTTTTTGAGCGAACGGAAACAGCTATCAATTTGCAATTTACATGTGCTTAAAGTAGATGTAATTGCTGATAAAACCAGACCAAGAACGGCTCTCTAGCTTAAAAATTGACTGAGTGACAGGGTTTTGAAAATGGTATGTTGAGGGACACTGTTCAGGATTTTTAGCTAAAAATATGGTTGCCAAGAAAAAAAAGTTAAATGTGAATTGAGTGTTTTTATTGAAAGAACTTACAAAATCTTACGGAAATTGACGAACTTCAAGCTTCTTCATCGGATGACACGGCTGACTCAACACTTGGCTGTTTGTCGAAGTATTTTCCACCACTTTGAACACAAAAGCTTCAGCCTTTCTGCCCACTTCACAAGGATCGTCTTGTCGAGGTCTTCTTGAAGGAGGGTTTTAAAGAATTTTTGAACGGCAGAAAACCCTCCTTCAAGAAGACTTCGAAAAGACGATCCTTGTGAAGTGGGCAGAAAGGCTGAAGCTTTTGTGTTCAAAGTGGTGGAAAATACTTCGACAAACAGCCGAATGTTGAGTTAGCCTTGTCATTCGATGAAGAAGCTTGAAGTTTGTCAATTTCCGTAAGATTTTGTAAGTTTTTTCAATAAAAACACTCAATTCTCATTTAATTTTTTCTTCTTGACAAACATATTTGTAGCTAAAAATCCTGGAGGGTGTCCCTCGACATACCATTTTCAAAACCCTGTCAATTGGACCTCAGTCAATTTTTAAGTTTGAGAGCTGCTATTGGCATTGTTTTATTAGAAATTACGTCTACTTTAAGCACACGCAAACCGCAAATTGATAGCTGTTTCCGTTCGCTCAAAAAACGGAAACGTGCATTACGTTTGAACACCCTATGTATGACCTGAAAATTCGACTTTATACCTCTACCAAGTTTTGGAAGGTGTTTAAGATGAAAAACTAGAAACTTATATTTTTGACCCTTCTTCAACAGGTTGGTCGGTTTCTGATGAGTCGAGTTCTTCGGATTCTGTTGAGTCGGCTGTATTGGCTTCTGGTGAGTCGGGTTTTTCGGCGAATTCGGACAGAGTTTCAATTGCCTGTTGCTTCTTGACCGCAAGGGATGATCGCTCATCAGTCCGACGCCTCTTGGGAGGTCTTCGGAAGGGGGCAAGCTGGGATAACTGAGTTTTCAATTTTTCGTTGGGAGCAAAAGTCATTGTTGGCTCCATTTGAGGCACTGGTATGTCTGGTTCCTCAGGTTTTAGGGAAGATGTCAGGTCTGATAGAGTAGCCGCCACTCGACGGAGCTGATGCTCGGAGATGTTTTCTGGGCCATTAGCCATGAAGTTTTGAAGAATAGAAAAATGACCTTCTATCTTTTCCCAGGTAGCTCTTTTTCTTCTTTCCACGGAAGAGGAGGACTCTCCTGTGGTTTCCATGTTAATGCCCTGATCATCACCCTCAGCCATTGCGGTCTGTGCATTTGGGAGGTTGTAAAAATCTTCCTGGGAAGAGGTGGATGGCAAGTTCCTGCATAGGACTGACTGCAATTTATGCACATGCTTGCAGAGAGGATGAAGGTCTGGGCAGCTACAGCAAAAGAGATGAGCACATAGACTGTGACATTCTGATTTGGTGCACTTTGTGAAACAAAGGTCATGCTCGCAAGAGTCCATATTTCTGGAGATGAAATATGTACCGTTGCCGCTTCCTGCCTTTATTTCCCAAAGCCCATTTTCAGAAATTTGCTCCTCAAGAACATCATCCTCTAACAGCAGACCTTTTCGATGCCTTTCCAAAATTTTTTGGGGTTGTACCGCAAATCCCCTCATGGCCTCGTTACAACGTGTTTGCTCATCGTACCATGCTATATCATAAAGTAAACTAATTAGATCATCTAGCCTTTTGTTGGCTAGTCTCCCAAGAAAATTAGTTTTCAGTCTGTTGTGGAAAGACTCAAGATGGCCTGTTGTATTGACGTTGCCATGAGGGAAATTGCGGTAGCACATGCACCATTTTGTGGCTCTGCCCCAGTAGTATGAGTCCAGGTAAGCCAGATACTGCTCTGCATCCTTATTATTTTTATATTTTTTGATGAAGCCATGAGTTTTAGGAACTCGCTTTCATCTTTGGCATTCATAATAACCTTCATCTCTGCCCACATTTCGTCAAACAAATCTCGAGAAACCTTTAATCTAAGATTATCGCTCAGATTTTTCATCACGTGCCATTTACACAGCAGATGAGTTAGTTGCTGAGAAAAACCGGCTGTCATGGCATTGATGAGTGCGTTGTCGTCGTCCGTCATAACGGTATTAATTATTGAGACTTCCTCCTCACTTTGTAGTCGAGTGCGTAAGGAGCAGGGATTTAGAGCTGAGGTTTGAGGGAGCATCATAAACGGAGCCGCATCGGCGCGCGAGGCGGAGGCCCGGCGCGGACTTTCATGCCGCTTCGATCAGTGCGCCGGGGGAGCGCATATGCCGTTGAGGCGGCTTCACCTGGTGAAGCCGACTCCCGGCTCCTTTTCTGATGCTGCATCAGTTTTGATGCTGAGTCCAGCATAAAAATTAGCGGCCTCAATTAGCAGACGCGTCGGACGCCAGCTCCCCGGGCCCGGCTGCCGGTCGGCTAATCGCACGGGGCTGTGTTTTCAACCCTTCCTCGGCGTCCACTTCTTAGAACTTTCCTCCTCCCTCCCGCTGTCCTCTCACCTGTAGAACCCTTCTCCTCCGCGGTCACCTCGACGGTTCACCCTCTTCCTGGTTTCATTTCGTCACTCTCACTTTCCACAGATTCACCACCTTCCGAGTTCGTTGCGATACATCCGCTTACACATTGTGCGTCCTAGGCTTGCGGATAAGCTGCCTACTTATTTCAGCGCTTCGCGCTTCTCGCGGCACGGCAAGGCAGCAAGGCACCCTCCGTTACCTTAACATGCGCTACTCCGTTTTTTTAAACTTTCTTTCGCTCTCACTAAAATGTTACTCCCTCACATTTGAACGGATTTAAACAGAATTATCCTGAGCCCACTTCAGGTTGCTGCAAGTTTTCTCTTGGAACTAAAACTAGAATACATACATACGACGTTTTAAGTCAGGATATTACCTACTTGGTTTTGGCTGAAAAATTACCACTTAAATAAAAAGTAGGCCATCTCTGATGTGGTTCTGCTGAATACGTTTGATCATTTTATCGTTTGGTTCTTCTTCCTTCCATGCTTCTACTTAATTGAGTCTCTTTTTAATCATTAATGGTTTTTCAGTAGGTAATTAAAAATAAATAAATACATTTCTAAAAGTTCTTCACTCTACGTCGGATTCACCTGAGTCTCTAGTGGGCCCTATAATTTTTTATTGTTACTTTCCTCCGTTCATGTTAAAAGTTCTTAATCGTTTTTTACGCTTGTGATTTGGACTCAATTTTCCCGGGGGGGGGGGGCTTTGGCTTTAAACCTTTGCATTTTTGCTCACTTTCTTCATACATTTCCCATTTCATCAGCACTTTTCAACAAATAATTCTTATTTCTAAGTTGCTAGAAAGTTGTAAAGTGATTCGAGAGAGGTGTGAGCGGTCATGCTGGTAAATAAGGTTACCTATAACCAGAAAAAAATCGGCATTTCCGTTTAAAACTTAGCTTTCCCAGGAAGAAATTAATTTTTCAAAAAATTCGCAGATGATGCATTAAAACGAAGGTCCTTTTTGGGTTCCGCTGTCAAAAATATACCGGAATTTGTGTAAGGCACGTCTGAAAATAATCCCAGTTTCTCATAAGGATGTTTTCTCGGACAAACCTGTTACTCCGTTCACATACCACAATTTTTCAGCAGCATTCATGCTTATCTTAATGCTTTCGTAGAGTTACTCTTTAACAAAAACAAACTGCATTTTGCAATTCGGAGCTATAAATTCTGGCTCATCTGAAAAAACACTTATGTGCATAGGGAAACTAATGGCACATACGTTGTTTTTAAACCGGGCTAGAATTTTTAGTTCCAAATTGCAAAATGCAGCCCATTTTTCAAGCTATGAAGTTACAATCATCGATTCCTCGTATAAGGGTGTGAACGTTTAAGGTATGTGACCGGCAACGAGAGAGAAGCTGTAGGTCAATGACCCCATTATTAAGTTATTGAAAACAGATCATATGACTTCTAGAAGACTTCTACGAAAAGAAGGGGATAAAATGGACGTATTTCTATCAAACAGAACTGTGAGCAGGTGAAAAATATGAGGTGTGCTCTAAAAATCTGCATAAGAAACAATGTAAAAGAGGGCGTGATTACTTTTGAAGAATTGGAAAAGCGGGATATTACATTCTATCATACAGAACACGGAAAAAACGAGCTTAGGGTTGGGACCTACATGTTAGTGCTGGACACTAACGAGGGTTAGGTTAAATGGAGCCACCAAGTCAGAGGAGTGCTGGGCACTACACAGCTCGAGGCTGGGTCACTAAGGAAGAAGTAGTGTCAAGCCCTAAAGTGACTTTGGAGCGAGCGTAAAATATGAAACGCCTCCGACTGGGATCGAACTCGGATTGCGCCGGTGGAAGACCAGCGCGTTACCACCAGGCTATGGTGACTCCGACGGCTCATGGGTGAATTTACACCTGTTAAGCGCAACTACGTCTCGCGGCATCTGATTAGCACTACTCATGTTCAGTGCCCACCTGTACTGCCTTCCGGTGTTGAGCTGTACAGCGCTTAGACGCCAGCCCTCAACTACTCCCCAGTAAACGGCCAGTAGTGCTCAACACTAGTCTTGTTTTTTCCGTGAACTATGTGCCAACTGAATGCGGGATTCATGAGCCGCGAGGATGGGACGAGAGCGTTGTGGACAGGGCTCATAAGAGTTAAAGCGCCCCGACGACGAGCTCCCCCTCGCGCCCGGCGGCCCGGGCTTCATCATTGCCGCTGACGTCACTGGCGCTTTACTACTCTCATTCACTCTTACGGCCAGAGAACTAGCGAGCATATCCCATTTTTCTGACCTTCACATAGGTCTGTTTGATAGAAATACGTCCAAATATGCTATAATTTTACCTAAAAATTGACAATTTGGACTCTGCATTTAAAAAATTTATCCTCAATAAATTAGATTTGAAAATTCGTATCTGCCATGTCAAAGGCTGGAAATTTCCGGTTTATAATAAAACTTTACCCCTTCCCCCCCCTCTTAAAACCTTAAAAGTTGCAGTATTATACTGCAACTCAAAAGTGGATCCAACAATTTGGTCACCGGTGTTCCTCCATTTAAATCTATGTTAAATAATCGATGCTTGTCGGAGCATCTGGCCCCTTCAAGAATCGAAACATTTCTGTAGATTTAAAGTTGCCAGGTTGTGCCACAAAATGTGAATATTTAATATGGGTTTACTTGAAGAAAAGTGCTGATTTTCAGCATTATCTGGCGACTTCAGATAACCTGTGAAAGAAGGCATAAAAAATTGAAGTCTGCAGTTGCCTTTTTTTTATAGAAAATCCCACTCTTTCCTGAAACAATTTCCTGTAAAGTTCATCAGAGTTATTGTATTTCATTTGAATATTTTATTTTTCATTTCTTATTGTTGCAAATTGTGAAGAAAGGCAAAAAGTGACAACTTATGCGGAGAAGACGATCCCGGGGGGGGGGGGGGGGGGGGGTGTTCCTAGACGGCAAATCTCCCCAGTAATAAACGGAACGACAAGACCTCTATTTTTCAAAGTCCATGCGGCCCTTGCACAACCCAACCTAATACTCTGTCTCATTGAGCGTCTCGACTTCTCAAGTTCTCGACCGGGGAAGGGGGACTTTCGATTTCAAACGAGATCGGCGAGAAAAAGAGGTGTCCTCCTGGCGAGACGATGAGACGAGGCGTGGGCCACCGCGCCGATGGGAAACGTAAACAAAGGGGTGTTCCGCGAATTCATCGCCGAGTCCGAGGGTCGCGGTCTTCTGGGACAGCCCCGTCGGTAATTAAGCTGGGTGGCGGGTCCGAAAATTAAGGCCGTATCGGGCCGCAAGCCGACGGTCCGGCCTCAGAGGCTGAGGCCCGCTGAGGCCCATGAGCCAGCATCAAACCTCAGCATCAGCGCTTGAGGCTGGCTCGGTCGGCTCTCCAGCATCGGGCTTCAATGCCCGAAGCCGGCGGCCGGCAGGTTGAGCGCATCAGGCTCGGAGCCGTATGCCCGAACGGCCGCTACCTGGGCATACGGCATTGATGCTGAAGCTACGAGTTGATGCTGTACAGCATAACCTCATGAGGCGCCTCAAATGCCTGGTAAGGAGTAAAAGAAGAACTGGAGGGTCTCGGCATCGGACTTACTGGTTATTAAATGGGCGACTGGCCAGCCACGGTGATTTTCGTCGATTACCATTGCAGTGAGGAGTGTATATTTATACTGATTAGTGCCATGGGTCTCATCCACCATCAGTATTTTAGAGCAATGCTTCCTCATCAATGCTAATTGACTACTTGTCTGAAAGCCAAACATGAACAAATCCTCTGCATTTGGCAAGTTGTAGATGCCTTCGGGTCCATAAACTACTTGGTGACCCAACGGCTTATAAATTAAAACAGAATCGTCCTTTTCAGCATGTTGTGATGCCAGCAAAAAAACACTCTTTGCATCGTCTTTGTCCAGTCGTCGTTCCATGCGCCTTCGCATGCCTCGCTTTAAAACTATGCCTCGGGTGAGATTACTAACCCTGCCCTTTAGGGCACTGGGATTATTCACTGGCTGGAAATAATCTTTTACAAGTGCATAGACAACACTAGGGGGTATCCCTTCTGCTAATTTCCTGTCAATGAACTTGGACATCGCTGCAGGAATTGGATGATGGAGTTGGTCCTCCAACTTACAAGAATGGCTGTGTGTTGGGTGGTAGACAACATTGACTGTTTTGTCATTTGCCACGGTCATTTTAATTTTAGCAATGCAGAAATGACCGACTTTTATTCTCGGTAAATTTCTGCGTTTACTCGTTTTCCGTTGTTTCCCATGTAACTTCCCGGACCCATCATGTTGGCAATAGAAATGCCTAGAAGAGCTAGATGATTGGCCTCTTCTTGCAGTGAAGTATGAGAAAGTATTTTCCTCTTCCTGTTCTTTCCACTCTTCAAACTCTTCAACTGAGGAGAAAGTTTTGAACACCGCTGGCTTAATAGTTACCTCATTTTTATGATGCAAGGAGAAAGGGTTGATCAATTCTGTTTTATGGACAAAAGAGGCACTACAGTCTTTCACCAAACATGGATTTTTGCTTCTAGCTTTTTGAGGTTTTTCCGAAGAACAGTTCTTGACATGCTGTTTTAAGTTAAATTTCTTGTGAAACACTGACTCGCAATGAGCACATTGAAATGTTGGCTGGCGTTGCTCAGGATTTAGATTACATCTTTTCTCATGCTGAACACGATTGACTTTTTTGGTAAACTTAAAGTTACAAAACTTACAAATCGTTGATTTAGACTGAGGTTCAGAATTACACGCAGACTTTAAATGATCTCTCAAGTGTTCTTTTCTGAAAAACTGTTTTCCGCATGACGTGCAAGAAAATTGTGGGTGGCTTTTTTCAGGATTTGAACGACAATTAGGTTCATGGCGTTTGCAGGAACTTTTACGGGAAAAAGAGGCGTTGCAAAATTTACAATTGGCCACGGTGCCCTTGACCTTTTGTTTTTCATCTCCTTTGCCAAGTTTAGGTGAAGGTTCTTTGGGTATGTTTTCATCACAGAATGGTTGGAGTAAGCTACTATTGACATTCGTAATACGGTTGGACTCGTCAAGTGTGCAGGAACTTTTTTCCGAGGAAAATTTGTGGCTAACTGGAACATTCTTGATGTCTGGTTTCTTAATTACTTTGTGAAGTTTACTCGGGGGTTTCCGGAATACGTTGTCATCATCAGACAGACATTCGTCTCTTGAATCATTCATGGTTGAGTTGGATGGCACAGAGTTTGTCGCTGCTTGTTTTGGTTGCTGACATTCCATTTCTGAAGGGTGTATCTAACAGAGAAAAAACATGTATGAGGAATTCTACTGTTAATTTAAGCATTCATGATAATCAACACTTTACACCGTAACTGCTATGCTGAGTAACAATGCTGCTCTTGCATCCAGATAGAAACAAAGAGAGATACTTTGAAAAATCCAGGCATCAAGTTGGAACGTCAGCAGTCATCGCATGGGCGTTGCATTTATTAGAAAGTTTTCAAAGCAGTGAAAAGTCTGCATCATCCAACTGAGGCATGTTGAACAAAAGACTTGAATGCCCGTCTGCTGGTGATATTGTGTTCAAGGAGCACATAAAAAACTTCATCGATAAGTTGAATAACCAATTGCCAAGGATGCTCCAACCACTTGTAACTGTTAAAGTGCTTCTTCCTCTTCCAAAAGTTTGAGCCTCCTCTGTTTGAGGGTTTCATTAGGTGCATAAGTTGAAATAATGTCCACATTTCTGTGTCTGATTTGGTAAAAACGAGTAACTGTGAAATATGTGGTATGTAAATTCAGATTTTGTACTATATATTATTCATTCAATGGGTATATCAGGCGATTTTCCATCTCCTTTCTACAGTTGAACTGGTTTGTGTGTTTCATGTTGTGAATCTATTGATCTTCAGTTGAGCGAGTTGGCTCACCACTGGTGAGTAGATGTTACAAACACTGTCTTAATTTACAATCACACATCTGGCAAAATAATTATTACTAAACTTACACCTATTATACATGTTAAATAATCACAATCATCTAGTGTAAGTATAAGTAAAGTTATTTTGTTGCATATTGTCTTTTGATGGCAAGCCAAAAGTAAACTCTATCTCTGATTATAGGGTAACAATAAATAATTGCTAGTTCCATTCACTCAAGAGATATAGACTTATTTTAACTTCAGCGGTAAAGTATAGTTAAACTAATTTCAGCTTTAAAAGTTAACTTTAATTTAACTCATTAAAATTAAAATTATAGTTAAAATAATTAATTTAAACATTAAGTAGGGTAGACATTTTAAAATACAGTGGAAACTGGATGTATTAAGTGCTAATAGGAACTACATAAAAATTAATTAAACCCAAAAGATCTGTATCAATAGGATTTGAATGCTTTACAGTTCAATTTGCTTTACTTCAATTGCACATAGTTCCTTTTGCCATAATTACCTTCAATTTACACTCATATTTTCTAATGCATATATCCTCCCTTATGCATTTGTTACTACCGTTTTCTAATTTCGTGGATGAATATAAAATAAAACATATGATATTATAGAAAATAGAATCTATAATAAAAGTAGTATTAAAACAGAAATGTTAAAAATTAAATACAAAGAAAACAACATTTTTGGGGCCTTATTCTAGCCAAAATTCATCCAGCTCAAGTTACATTCAATTTTGTTTTGTTCTGCAAATTTTTCCTGTCTTTTTTAACTCCATCCTCATTACTTACTGACGAACTATAGATATTCAAATATTCTTGTGATACCAACATCTTTAGAATAATCTTTACCATTGCCGACTAATTTAGTGCATCTTCATTCATGTTATTCATGACTTTTTTCCCATAATATGTGGTGGTAAGAAGGTCCAATTGATCATAGGATGATATTTTGGTCTTGTGATTTGACTGAAAGAGGCTCTGTGCCAAATTTAAGCTGAATTCGCAAATATTAACCCGTGCCTGTAGATAGACATTTTATGGATGGTTTGTTGGAAAAAGTAAAACGATTTTTAGAACGTCACTTATCTGGAAAATCGCGAGGCGATGTAAAAAAAATTGGTTCACTATCGGACTCAACACCAAAAATTACTTGAAACCAGACAAACCAGCCACCTGGCCAACTTTCGATTTACTCTTCCTTTCAGACACGAAACAAGTGGATGAGTTTTATTATAAGGAGCCAACATTTTTTTTTTAAGTCAAGTTGTTTAGTGAATTCAAAACTTTGTCCATAAGTAGGACATTTTGGGGGAAATTTTCAGTTCCCTCGAAATTGGTTGTGGAACAAACCAGGGCAAGTTTTCAATTCAGGGGTCAAAATTTATGCAGGTATCCACATACAGCATACCTTCTAATTTGTCCAATTTTTTTGATAATGAGTTCACTTTAGTCAAACAGCCTTATTTGCCTATTTATTTCCTCATAAACTCTTCCAATTGTTTCATGTCTAAAAAGAAGGATAGGAAAAATTTTTCCAGGAAACTAGTTCTGTTTGGTTCTATGCAATTTTTGCTCCTGAGTCTGAAAATGAACTTAATTTTCTACTATTACCAACCAATTCCTGAGGAATTGAATGTTTCTCAAAAATAATTTTCTTTCAGCTGTAAAAAAACACACCTGGAGACACAGGTTAATATTGACTAATTCAGCTTAAACTTTGTACAGGGTCTTTTTCGGTCAGACGGATCAAATTTTGGGGGGTGAAACCAACAAAATTCTAGCATCCTCTAAATGAAGCGTAATTGATGTAGAGTTCACTACATGAAGACTAAGACATAGATCGTCATGGAGGCTAAGATGTATCTTTATTGTAAGAGTCCTTTGCTCTTAAGTCATGTCTTTGCTCCTCATGTGCAAAGTGGTTTTTAAAATCTGCATTAAATATTGTTCTGTGATGTTTGTATGAACCTGATGTTGCACTTTTTGTGTATCCTCAAAGCTGGCAAACATGAGCAATAAGATGAATAAGCTGATTGTGTTCATTGTGCGACCTTGTAATGTTTTTCAGTATATTTTCCAATGGCAAAAACACTATTACAACCTCCCAAGATACCAGACCTGAGCCGGGTACCTTCAAGGAAGGGGGCAGAAAGATTATGAACTCACTGTACGGGTACGCGGCAAAGATATTTTGGGAAAATGCCTTTTTGCATGATGGATCACGGATGGAAAGCTGAGGAAAATTTTTCATGGCATAGTTATTTTGCAAAACAAGTTTTCACCTACTTGGTGCTAAGCCTGATGGAGGGAGTTTGATTCATTTTCATTTCACTGATTTGATTTGAAAACCAGCCAAATCCTATGTAGAGCGTGGAGCGGGATTGACTTGGGGAAATGTCCTTTACTTCCAGCAGTGGATAAGTTGGTCTCAAAAAAAGAGAAACAATTTAGTCCACACAAACACCACAGAACAAAGTTTATCTCGTCCACAGGGCGAAAGCCTTCAAAAAAACCTGCGCAAAAACCAGGTTTTCTAAACTTCGACTTTTATTTCAATCATGAGCGGACTGGGAATCAAAGCTATAGAAAATTTTACTCACCAGCAGATAGGTCTTGTTTCTTGGAAAGCCTCAATCACTAATTAGGTACCGTAACTCAAAAAAGCCATCTTCTCACTAAAAAAAAAAATTATATTTTTAATAAATATCTTCTATACTAAAGAGAGAGAGGGGGGGGGCAGGAGGGGGAGAGAAAAAAGAGAGAGAGAGAAAAGAAACTATATCTTAATGCCATTTAAGAATAAGAAAGGAAACCCAGACTAAGAAGAAGAATTTATGAAGATTCTATTAGATTATAATTACAACAATTTGTAAGGCTTCCTACTAGTCCAAACTCTATCTTCCAGACCACTAAGGCAAAGGCCCAAAATTAGGGAAATACTTAGTTATATTTTAATTAGGATGTGAGAAATGAATTTTACTGCTTCTTATTCTCATCAGTATTGTGACATCCTCTAAATATGTGAGTTGAGAAGAGCACTAATGTTCCGGCACAATACTATATTCAATGATGTGGGAAATAATATAGAATCATGCTATAAGGGACTCCCTGTATCCATGGCCAAATTGAAAAACAATGAATCTAAGTTTGAGAAGTTTGGCAACACAGTGCCTAAGCAAAAATGGAGTTTTAACGCTTTGACTGGAAGTTGACAATAGGTATGTGCTTTAGTTGTGTCGCTATGAATCATTCACTTTGAAACACTGATGTGTCAGGTAAATTTGAGAAAATGACTGCTGCGCTCATTGCATCATTTACACTATAGTTTCACTCAGACCCTTCAAAATGATTGCAAGTACCTTATTTCCTCACAAAATGCATATTTGAGCAAATGATCCCACCAACTACTACTATATAAACACCAACCACACTAACACCAACTATAGGAACTAAGACTGCTTTTCAAGCACTTTAATTGGAAAAAGCTTTTCTATGATGTTAAAATAGAAAATGTGCATGTACCATGACGCAAAAGTAGGATTTTACAAGCTACATGGATTGGTTCAGTTTGTTAAAAAATATTCACCTGCAAACTTACCTGCGAATGACAGAACATTTTCTTGGTCATGGATAGCAAACAAAATTTGATCTGATTGTCTAACAGTTTTTGAAAACTGACATGAATGAATAAAAACACACGAGGCAAAAGATGACCCAACATTCTTCCGTGCAATATCAGATCAGAGAGAACAATGGATCCAAAGAACTTGAGATGAGGCCCAGTTGAGGGCACCTTTTTCCTGCCATTTCACTCTCAAAATCATACTCTTTTATTGTGCATAGACGTCATGTTGGCATTCCTTTTCCCACCCAAGAATACGTAGCCAACATGACACAGCTTTCAAAGATTACTAGCGTCCAGTTCAAACTCTACTTTGAGCTGCCTTTCTTCAGCGCATTAGTAAATGCATTTTTTCTGCATTGCATGTTATGATGCATTTTCTTCTGGGATCCTTTTCAAAAAAATCAAAGCTTCCTGTAGATTTGATTCCCTCAGTGTCAGAAATAAAGCAATTGAGAGATTTTTTATTCAAAATGATTTTCTAAAATCGAACAAATAAATTATTATTAGGTAGGTAGTTATGGAGAATTAAATCTTTGGCTGAACATCAAGAAAGTGAAAAAAATCTATAGATGGATTCAAAAGAATAATACTTTTGTTGGACAAAATGACACAGAATGTATGAAAACACTTACAGATATTTGATGTGATTTCAGACAGGGACGATGTTCCAACGGTTGCATTAAACTCATCCACACTTGCTCTCATTGCAGTGAACCCATTTCTTGATGGTTTGATTTTGACATGAATCATCACGGTGCGTTTTAAACAATTTTAATGCGGTCAACATACCACCCGCGATTTTTTTGCGGAAATGTCAACTAGAAGGCCTACTGATTGAGGAACAACAAACCGCGAAATCTGTGATGGGGCCGTTTTTGAGAAAATGCGATTTTTCGCTTTTTTGGCGGGAATTTCGGGTCAAGGCGCTGAAAAAGTCAAGTTAGGCTGTTTTTGTAGTTCGTAAATGCATATCCTATACATTTTGAGTCAATCAAGTGCNTGAAAACTTTTAAATTCCTGTTTTATGTGATATTTAGAGGCGAATACCCGAGTCACGGTGCGTTTTAAACAATTTTAATGCGGTCAACATACCACCCGCGATTTTTTTGCGGAAATGTCAACTAGAAGGCCTACTGATTGAGGAACAACAAACCGCGAAATCTGTGATGGGGCCGTTTTTGAGAAAATGCGATTTTTCGCTTTTTTGGCGGGAATTTCGGGTCAAGGCGCTGAAAAAGTCAAGTTCGGCTGTTTTTGTAGTTCGTAAATGCATATCCTATACATTTTGAGTCAATCAAGTGCCAGTAGATAGCTATTCGTGCATATTGCCCAAAATTCATATCCTTAAATCCACGACTTTTGGGTTTTTGGGGGGTTAGTCAAGGAGAAATCCGAAAAAAGGAGGGTTAACCCGGAACAAATTGCTTAACAAACTTTTCCTACGTAAACTTCTTCAGTAGGTCCTATTGAACAACATACCAAAAGTTTACCACGGTTCGCTCCCGGAACACCCTCCCAAATTGCCTAAATTTCAAAATGGCGGCCATAATAAGGCCTCTGGGAGTTCGATTTTTTTTAAAAATACGCATACAGTGTCATGTGAGGTGTCCATTCCTATGTAATTTTGGTCGTAGATTTCAAATATGAAGTAAAAAAAGTCCTTTGATCAAAAGGGGATACCCCAAATCCAAGATGGCAGCCAATTTTGAAAGTCAAGAGGGTGGATTTTTAAAAAGTTCGCGTGATAAGGCAAGTGAGATATCATTTCTTATGTAATTTTGGTCGTAGATTTCATTTATGAAGTCATAAAAGCCCTCAAGTCAAAGGGATTGCTCCAAATGCAAAGATGGCGGCCAGCTTTGAAAGGCAGGAGGGTGAATTTTTGAAATGTTTACGTGACATCCCTAATAAAATAGAATCAACCTGACGTCAGGGTATGTTTCATAAACTACCCTGAGTCAGATTGATATCAGCCTGAATTACTCTGACTCAGGGCAGTTTATGAAACGTCAGGTTGATTCTATTTTACTAGGGATGTCACGTAAACATTTCAAAAATTCACCCTCCTGCCTTTCAAAGCTGGCCGCCATCTTTGCATTTGGAACAATCCCTTTGACTTGAGGGCTTTTATGACTTTTGGGCAATATGCACGAATCTACTGGCACTTGATTGACTCAAAATGTATAGGATATGCATTTTCGAACTACAAAAACAGCCTAACTTGACTTTTTCAGCGCCTTGACCCGAAATTCCCGCCAAAAAAGCGAAAAATCGCATTTTCTCAAAAACGGCCCCATCACAGATTTCGCGGTTTGTTGTTCCTCAATCAGTAGGCCTTCTAGTTGACATTTCCGCAAAAAAATCGCGGGTGGTATGTTGACCGCATTAAAATTGTTTAAAACGCACCGTGTCATACATTCTTTTCCATCAGCTAAAAAATACAGGAGACCAAGTGTTAAGAAGTAAAAGCAGAATTGAAAATTCTCAATAATTATTTGAAAATGTTTCTAATTAACATACTAATAGAGATGCTAATCTGTGGATAATTTTGAATCCTGAACTTCATTATCTAAAAACAAATGCAGTCATCTCTTTCTACAATGACACTCATTAAAATGCAAATTTCTATATAACACAGGAATAATTCTGTCCCTTAAACTCATTACATTAATTAGATGTACCTTCCCTTGATGTGACGAAATAGTAATGCAGCGTCAGTGTCAACAGTGAAAGCATGCATAGGCATATCTTTAAAATTCTATGGAATTTCATGCAACTTAATACAGCAAAAAGAAATTTCATTAAGTCAAATTTCATTTTCCATCTCTGCGTGCATGAGCCTAACATTATACCTTCTACCACTCAACAGGTATTGGAGCCTGCTCCCTCCCACGATTTTTTAGCATCACAGTGCAAATAAAGCTGATGTCACAGCCTGTTAAAATTAGAAAATGTTATTGACGTCCATTTTTCTTCAGTCAAGAGGCAGTCGCAAAAATCAAATTTCTTCACATCATCATGAGTCATTTCATCATTCCATAATTCCTTCCACTTCCTCAGATTATTCTTGAATTTTTCATTTACCGCATGGCTCCTGATTTTTGTTGACGACTGGTAGTCAAGAGGAAATTTTTTTGTCACAATAAATCTTTCAGTCCATTGCCTCTTCTTTATGGAGGGTATTGTAGTATTCAAAAATAAGTATATCGTACAGAGAAAAATTTTTGGTAATAGAACATTTATGAGACAAGAGGCAAGTGCAGATTTTTTAAAATTGATTCACAGAAAGAATCTAAAAGATCATAGATACTACAAAAATGGCAATGGCATGACACCCCCTCCCTCCCTGCTCGATTCAAAGTGGGATTTTCTGTTCAGAGGTGCAATTATATCATTTTTTTCCCCTTCAAGTTAAGATTTGATCCCATCCCTACATTTCACATGCAGTTGAAAAACCGTGTTTCTTGTGTATGGCATCCTTTATCTCATTTACTTAAACCGGTTTGGTTTCTACTAAAAAAAGATGGCAAGAGCAGGAAGGTAAGTATTTTTTGCCTGAGGGGCTGACATTTTTAAGGTACTCATTTGAACTCTTAGATGTCTTTGGAGCATGGCTTCAAAAACTTCTGATTCTTTTGAACAATCACATCCGATTCCTATTATGGTATTTTCATGTTTCAATCTACCACAAGCCTGGCCCCCATGGGCATTTTTTCAATATTTCCTCAGGGAAATTCATGGTAAGGTATGCTAGCTGCGGCTGTGGGGTTGTTGAAGGGGTTTGCTGGGAGGACACATGCGAATGAATCAAAATTTAAAGTGAGATAAAAATGCGAAAACCTAATACAAGAGGAATGGAATTATCACTTGGACGTATTTATGCTCAGGAGAAGTATGTTACACAGATACCCTATGCACATAGTTCCTTCCGACATAAATACATTTGCTAACATTTGTACTGGCAAGGAGATGTAAACTTACAAAGCGTTAAATGATAACTGTATTCTGCTCATCTCAGTTTTACTCATTTGTATTTGATTTTAAATTTTGATGCGTTGGCATGTGTAAAACAAAATCAAACCTGAAGATGGATTAGTACCCATATAAGAGTCGAAAATGGCCGTCATAGTCTAACAATATAAAAATGTTTAATCGGAATACCAAGGTAATTTTCCAACTAATGGATTCAATGGCAAAGTTGAAGATGCTACAGACTGATTGGTCAAAATTTCGGAGCATCTAAGTATAGAGCGAGACTTGCATGCGGTAGAGATGATGGAAGGCTAGATTGGTTTTCTTCCAAAAATGTCGCTCTGACTGACAGGTAAGTAAGCAATGATTCAAATTGGAAACAGCAGGCATTGAGCGTGTAATTACAGAGATACTATTGAAGATGTGGACAAAGGGGCCAAGAAGGTGCGAAAGAGGATGCTGCCAAGTACTAGCAACTCTTCGTGACATTCTGAAAGAGATGGCACTTCAGACAAGGTTGTCCACCCTTACCTTTAAAAAAACGTGATCTTATCATGAACTGGGACTAGATGTCAATCCAAGAACTGGTCCTGCTGGGTAAATAGTGGAAAAGCCTAAAATTCAGCAAGGCTGATGCAACTGCTGAGGAGAAATCACCTAACGCCAGGTCGAAATTTCCAGTTCCTAGGCCGCACCTGCAACATTTTAGCATTAAGCTCTGTTTCGAACAATCTGATCAACTGAGATGCACGCATTTTTTAGTAATTTTTTCAGATCTTTCAGCAAATTTCTAGACTTTTTCCTGCATATAATAAAAAGTTGACTTCTTCCAGACTTCTTGGACTTGTAGAAACCTTGAAAATAGATAGGTAAATGAGAGGCAATGTGATCCTGAATTGACGAAATGTGAAGTCTTAAATGGACATATTTCTGCCGAACGGAACTATGTACATTAAACCGTGAGTCCTGTCATGCTTATTTTTATGGGTCTCAGGGCTCATGTCTTAATACACATAGTTTTGTTTGGTAGAAATACCTCCAAATTGAAAAGGATCTCTCGGAAAAAGTTGAAGCTTTGCGCCAACCAGTCCAATGTTTATCATCAAAGGGCTCTACTAGATCCTTTTTAAAAGCTTATCATCAGATCAGATCCTTCACTAAAATTGGTATTCAGTAAGATGCCAAAAGTGAAGTGACAGAGGTTCATTGCTGAATGCCGTGATCACTGAATCTTTGGGGTCCAACCATGGGGGATCTTCGGAAAGATTTGGTTTGCATCGTATGTACCTGTAAATCAACAGTTATCATTTTCCCCCTCAGAAATTCATCTGAAGACGATAAAAAGTAATAATAAACACGCGCTTACCCAATTTAGTAAACAAACATCACTCAAAGCCAAAGACAAATATAACTTAACTTATCACTCCATCAATCCCGCGCCCAAAGTTTGTTTACATCATCCGAGCGCCTTAACTCCTGTGCAATCCGCAGTCGCGCGCCACCACCGTCGTTCTGCAATCTGCACCCGGAATCTAATGCTGACAGCTCCCGTGTCCGGCACCGCGATGATCGGTGATGTCAGGAGCCAATCAGAGCTCAGATTTTTTTCTTAAATGAAATTAAAAAGAAAATAAGAAAACACGAAACACTAAAACACAGAAATTGCGAAAACACCAGACTTGAATTGACAAAACACAACAACAGATAGAGATGACGGAACAAAAATTTTGGTGAGAGATGAAGTTTCTGACATCGATTGCATCAATTCAAAAATCGAATTCAAGTCCCGAGGTGAATTCGAAATTTCAAATTGATGGCTTTCAACGGTCTCTGGTGAGACCAACGAAGAAGTCGAATATCATTGAAAAAAAATGCAGAATCGTCGAATATCATTCAACGGCGAATGATAATCGATCGCGAAATTTCGCTTCTTGTCTCCACGGGACGTTTTCATGGGATTTGTCCCATGTTCGAATCGCAGGAATGAAACTTCTGGGATTTTTCCCAGTTACCGTCTCCACGGGACGGGGCTCATACAGTCCTGCGACTAGTTTGCGTGGGAAGGTAAATTAGTTAAAGTCGAGTATTTAACCGGGATTAAAATAATAATTGCACTCAATTGACAATTAGACACATTTTAACTAAACAAACATTAACAATGTAGTAATGAATAAAATATCGCACGATTCGTTTTCACTTCTTCTTCTTCTCTCAGTGGATCCTAGGGGTACAAAGTACCATACTTGGCACTGGGAAAAATATCGATTAACTCAATATTTTTCCCAACTTCGTAAGTGGGATTTTTCCCTGAGACAAATATCGTGAAACGGCTCGTGGAGACAAGGCCTACAGTCGGGCCAGGGACCAGTTCTATAGGGCCTCATCTCCACGGGACGTTTTCATGGGATTTGTCCCAAGTTCGAATCGCAGGAATGAAACTTCTGGGATTTTCCCCAGTTACCGTCTCCACGGGACGGGGCATATACAGTCCTGCGACTAGTTTGCGCGGGAAGATAAATTAGTTAAAGTCGAGTATTTAACCGGGATTAAAATAATAATTGCACTCAATTGACAATTAGACACATTTTTTAACTAAACAAACATTAACGATGTAGTAATGAATAAAATATCGCACAATTCGTTTTCACTTCTTCTTTTTCTCTCAGTGGATCCTAGGGGTGCAAGTACCATACTTGGTATACTTGATCTTGAAATTTTCAAGGCATTCCATGCAGAAATGGCTGAGAAATAGAAGAATTAGTGCCAGTTTGAGAGCCCCAGTTTGTACGTGGGCCAAAGACATTAAATCACGTAGACCGTGCGTTCGGCTCGGTTTAAGTACTGGCGGAGCGAGGCAAGTCTCTCGGAGCCCCATGATGGGCGGGCGGGGAAGGGGAGAGAGCGTGTGTCCCAAGCACTCGAAGAGGCAATGGAGAATTCATGCCCGCGCTCGGTTTTTCACGAATATCTCGTTTAGAGTCCATTTTTAGGCAAAATTCCGAAGAGGAAAAGTTATAGAACACATAATTTTACACCCGATTAGCATTGTTTCATTTTTCCGAACTAATTATTAACCGAGGAAAAAAGCCTCACAATCCGACAAAAATTCACTGGAGCCGCTACTGCGCATGCGCACATGTGCGCAACTGGGACACACAAACTCATCGATGCGGGTCGGTGCCACCACTCATCACATGCGAATTTTTAAAAGTTGCCTCGCCTTCCGTAAATGCCGCAATCAGACGCTGAATTTAGCACCTGAATGTGGAAGTCAACAGTCATCGCCCAACGGCTGAAATTTAGCAAATTCGAGTTATTTTCATCCAGATGTGTATCAAATCTACTCGAATAGTTCAGACAAATTCAAAATTGGTCCGATGGTTGCTGAGAATCGTTGCTGAATTTTGCGCGTCACGCGCAAAATTCAGGCATCGGGCCGATGACTTCCACATTCAAGCCACATTCAGCTCCCACATTCAGCGTGTGATTGCGGTGTTAGAGCATCATGAAGCCTAAAAACTCGTTGACCAATCAAAAAGCGGAACAGTTTTCCTGTAGTAAAAAGATACGAATGGCCATACTCTGTCTATAAAGGTACTCTAACACAAGCATCCAGCGCCAAACCAGGCTTCACTTTTTCCCCGTGGTTTTAGATACGAGCACTCCGTCTTTGTGTCTTCGTGCCGGACACGGAAGCTGTCAGCATCAGATTCCGGGTGCAGATACCGAAACGACGGCGGTGGCGCACAGCGGATGGCACAGGAGTTGGGGCGCTCCGCGGGAACATTGAATAATAATAACTAGCTGACTATTTTCTGACTATAGCTGAGCTATTATTATTCTATGGCGGGAATATGTGAACAATACCTATATGATGCGTGTGGCTCGCTTTCAGTTCCCGAAATCCCGACCCGCGTCCGGTGCCAGTCAAAAGTCCCAAATACCTAGAGCTAATGTAAATCGCTTGTAAATCCAAAATTGTTCGACATTTAAACGAGAATCAAACAGACTCATTTTAAAGAGCGCAAAATTTCCTATCAATCAGTATCAAAAAATTCATCAAAAAAAATTCCTGTGACCGAAAAATGGGTTTTTAAAAAAACTGCGGCAAAAATTCTTACGATCAGTGACCTTTTTTCTGATTTTCCCTTAAAACTGTCAATTTTAGGGAAAATGTCTAAGGACGTTTTTGAAAGGCCATAAAATTTTCTATCAGATCGTTACACAAACTTTTCGAAAAAGTAATATCTGAGGACGAAATTATGGATTTTAAAAACGGCAGCGGCAAAAATTCTTATGATGAGAGACTTTTTTTCTCATCTTTTCAAAAAATTCGTCAAAAAAATTCCTGTGACCGAAAAATGGGTTTTTAAAGAAACCGCGGCAAAAATTCTTACGATCAGTGACCTTTTTTTCTAAGGACGTTTTTGAAAGGTCATAAAATTTTATATCAGATCGTTACACAAAACGTCGGGCCGACGATCTTCGAGGGTAACCGATGTGTTCGCGGGATACATCACAGATCAGATCTTGAAATTTTCAAGGCATTCCGTGCAGAAATGGCTGAGAAATTGAAGAGTTAGTGCCAGTTTGAGAGCCCCAGTTTGTACGTGGGCTGGACGCTTTAAACAGAAAGGAACCAAGCCACATCCGCTATTGCCAAATTTAATTGGGCGATTTAATTTTTTACATGAAAACGGTTGTGCGGATTTTCGTGGAAATTTCAGTGAAAATTCTCCATGGCACGAAGCACATTCCTTAACATTTTCAAAGAAATCCGAACAAACTTTCTCTCGTTTCGGGAGGGGTGGGGGCTTGCGGGGTCCCACTACTACCGGGAGGTGGGGGGGGGGATGGAATACCCCCACCCCCCCCCTCCTTCCAAANAGGGGGGTCCGGGGGTCCTCCCCCGGAAAATTTTAGAGGTTTGTGATTTAATTAGACGCATTTCGAGGCTTCCGTGACGCAGATTTTCCATCAATGTCTGCAGAAAAATTACGGTTCCTTCTTGAACTTTCAGCAAAAAATTCATAATTATTTGCATTCAAAAAGATCCTGAAAATTTTTGGAATTTTAACTCTTTTTGGAGGCATTTCTAGACTTCCTTGACGCAGATTTTCTATCAGTTCCTGCATAAAAATTACGCCTTTTTTCACTTTTAGAATAAAATACTTTCGAATTATATGCATTCAACAAATCTAGAAAATTTTAGAGATTTTAACTCTATTTGGACGCATTTCGAGACTTCCGTGACGCAAATTTTCCATCAATGTCTGCAGAAAAATTACGTTTCCTTTATGAACATTCAGCGAAAAATGCATAATTATTTATATTCAAAAAGGTCCTGAAAAATTTTTTCACTTTTAGCACGAAATACGTTCGAATTATATGCATTTAACAAATCTAGAAACTTCTTGAAATTTCAACTCTATTTGGATGCATTTTGAGGCTTTTCTGACGAAAATGTTAGGAACGAACACTGTGTGTTCATTTAAGACCATAGGTACATTAAAAGAGATACATTTCTTCGACGGTCTCAAACTTCTTCTTTTCTCGCACTTCCTCATCTTCTGTCTCCTCTTTCCTTCTCTCTTTTCCTCCTTTTTTTTGCTTTCGGGGGGGGGGGGGCTTGAGCCCCCCAAGCCCACCTCCTGGCTACGTGCCTGCTTAGAAGAATGTGTGGCACGATCGATTTCCAATTTTTTCCATTACATTTATCTGGTCTATGGAAGCAAATCCAAAGTCATCATTCCGCCATCTTTCTACGAGCCACCGTTTTCGCAGTATTTCGCACAATCCGCAGTGAAAGTTTCGATAATTACTTGAATGAGTGAGGGCAGTTCGGCGATTTAACATGGAAATCCCGAAGCTATCGTGACAGTTCTTCGGATTTTCGAAACCCTTTGTCCCGTAGGCAATTTCTCTAACAGTCCCTAAATTAAAAATTGTCTCCCGAGCAAGGAGCTTTGAAAATCATAAACTTTTTTAAAGCTCTGTTGCGTCGGAAGGACGCGTCTCTGGAAAATTTTGGGAAGAACGTTGTACCCTTGATTTTTGCGCTCTTTCACGTGCCGTAATCCGTTTTCCCAAATATCATTTACCCAAAAAGTTATCGCATTTTTTCAATTTGGGAGCGCTCGTAACGTAATTTTCCAAAGACGTACGTCCTTGCGAACACAATAAATGAACAGTATGCTAAAAAATACTCCCTACTAAGTATCAGCTACTTTACGAAAAAAAACGAAGAATTACATCAATTTGAAGGAGGAAAAAATGCCAACTTTGGAAGCACATAGCTCACCCATGAAGCGTTTTCAGGCACATGTGTACACAATAAATTAGTCATATTTTGGGTCGAAAAATCTATCCTGAAAATTACGCGGTTACTTTCCAGACACCTTATAGAAATGGTCTTAAGCCCCAAAAATTATCTTTCTGCGTGGTTAAGTACCAAGTCACCAAAAAAAAAAAAAAAAAAACA